GAGGACCCCAGGAAAGATGTTGGTGGACCTAATGAAGCAGGCATGGCACCAAAGCCACCAGCTGTGATCTGAGCCAAGCTCTTCAGTTGGAGTTGGAGTAAGCAAGAACAGGCTGGTTTTCTTACCACAGTGGCTCTGTACTCAGCAATAGCTTTAATGGCTGCTTTTTCTTTTGCTTCTTTCTCTTTGCATTTTTTTTCATATTCAGCTTCTTTTTTTGCGATGGCTCTAGCAAGATTCTCACTTTCCTTTTTTAAAGCCTCACTCATTTGTGAAGTGATTTGGCTAACGACTTTGTCCTGACGTGCTTGCTGTAGCCTGCAGAAGAACATGAACCATAACATACCAGGGTACACACCTGGGTCTACCTGAAGCATCACTGCTACCAAACTCAACAATTCTGATTTTCGTCTTCTCTTGACACACAGATTGGCCTATTCACCCAACTCCTTCATCTCATGTTCCTCCTGTTTTTCAAAAATTATTTGATGTAACAAATAGATGTTCCCTGTAACACTTGCTTTTTGTTGCAATAATGAGCTGGATCATTCTGGGAGGAGTCTCCCTAGTGTTTTGCCACCACGGGAGAAATGTTGGGAATATTGTCCAGAAGAGGAGGAAACTCTGACTGGATCTATAGTATTGACATGCTGTACCCTCAATGTTAAATTGAAAACCATCTTTCCTTGATAATAACCCAATATAATTAATTAATATAGGTGCCTTGTTAAGAAGTAAAATTATTTTTCTTGACCTGACTCAGGGAAATACAGTATCTATCCAGAAATACTTCCATCAAGGATGTCAATTGTCTTCAATTATTGAGGAGGTAGAGGCTTGGCAGGCTACATGGAAAATCACCATTCCCAATACAATGGTGTAGAGCTTTGCACTTCTGTTAAATCTTTGTAGTTTGAAGGACAAAGGGTTTGTTCCCCCCCACACCTGTTACAAAGGAACCTGTTACAAAGAATTTCCTACTCTCAATATCAGTGGAATTTAATTTCTAGAATAACTGTGGTTTGTGTTACATTGGAAAGATTTGAAAATTACTACATGTAATTTTATGTTTATGTACAATTTATACTCTATTTTTGTACCTACCTACGTATTTCTGCTTTTTTCTTCTTTACCATCTTGCCAATGGTTTCTTTTGCTTTAAAATAAGCTTTAATCCGATCATCTTCTTCCATTTGTTTTTGTTTCTCTATTGCTTTGATTATTTTCTGGTCAGCTAAATGTTCCTGCAGGGGCAAAATGTTCCTGATATAACAGATGAAGTTTAGAAAATCTGGGCCTGGAGTAGCAACTTAAAAGAATCACTCTGTGTTTCTTTCAAAGAGAGAAGAGAGAAAAGGGATTCTTGGTACTTCCACTCATTTCTCCCTCTCTGTTCAAACATGCATGAAGAGGAGACAGTAAATATGAGGAAGAAGAAGGGGAATTGAGCATCCAACAGCTGCTTATCCAGCCCATTACACAAACAGATTGCTCTGCAATGTAGTATTATTCCTTGCTCCCATTAAAGCAGGTTGGAGACGGGGACATTGAGAGGAATGGGACCGAGCAATTCCCACCAATGCTTACACAGACTGTGCTGTTTCTGGCCAACCTCATCCAAAACTATCCCAGTCTGAAAGCTTAATCCATGTCACAGCAGAAGAGGAGTCTTCTGCAGTTTTACATAAAACGCCAACTGCATCCTGGCCAGAACTGTTCTGAGGCATTTCTAGTTTGCGTATAGCAAGATGCCTTTAGAGATGAAGAGAGAGGGAAGCAGGTCTTGACTAAATTTCTAAACCTCTCCAATCATAAAGGGAAAAGCAAGTTCAAAAGATACTGTTGTGTTCAGTCTCAGGCTATTCTCTTTTGCTGACAGAAACATGGGCTTAAACCATCAGGTATGTGGAATTTAAATCCAGTTCTGAAGTTGAGGATAATTTTCCTTGATTTCTACAGCAGACTTTTTAATCATTGACCAGTCAAAGCATCAGGTGCCAGTGTCCCTTCAGACAATGGAAGGGACCTGCCTCCAAGAGGCCTTTCTCACAAGCACAGAGGAAAGCTGTGGCCTTCAACTGGCAAGGTCGGCATATGATCCAATGCTATTGAAGCTGCGAGCAAACCTCCTGCTGCCAGTAAGCCCATTTAAATATACAAATGCAATATTTCACTGCAGACAGCCAAGGTGAAACAAGCATTTTGAACTCTATGCTTTGCTGTTACTTACATGATACAGCCTCTGCTGTTCAGCTTTTTCCTCCTGTTCCTTTTCCTTTCCTCTCTGCATTTCCAATTGGTACAAGTGGTTCAATCTCTGTATTTGTTCCCCTTCTCTTTTGTCTTCTAGCTTGGCCAGATCTGCCTGATGCTTATGCTCCTTTATTCTGAATCAGAAAAAGGAGCTGAATAAATGAGCTAGGGACTGCATGAAGTAATTAACAGACAGGAATTCTGCATAGCCATAGGTACCTTGCACTGAAGGATGTGATACTTTGAATTAAAAGTGGGTAGAATGTCACAGGTGAAAACCAGCATCATTGTTTGTAATGGTAGCCCTCAATCCACTGACCAGAAATGAGCTGTGGTATGCTCACATATTGCTGTGTAGTGGTAACAAGTTTAATCTGGATGACCCATAAGCACCATTGCATTCAACATTCTGGTCTATCTCTGCAGCATCCTCAATGAACAGGACTTCCCCAGGAGGTCCCACTGTATCTATGCTTCTCATTCTGTGTGTGAAGTCAACAGCTTAAGCTGGTAGTGCTCTGTACTAAGTTCTGCGAGAATGTATGTGTTGGACCTGAAATATGTGAGACCAGACACTGAACCCTTCCTCTGCTTCAGGAGATGTGATTCCTTCTAAAAGGCCACCAGGGCCAGTCCTACAAACCACTGGGGACCCCTCCATAATGTTTCTGCAGCAGCTGAGAGAAAGAGGTAGCTGTGATGCATTCTCTTGATGAGTTTTCTGCAATCCGTGGACAGATGGAAAATGTGGTTTAACCTTTTCCTTTTCTGGGACAAAAACTGAGTTAAAATACACTTTCAGTAACAATTTCTGAATAGTGATTCGATTAAAACCTATTGATGCCTACCAGAAGCAATGTTACACACAGACTGTTGGCAAATAAAAGAGGGCATACCATGTATTCTCCTTCTGTGCAAGGTCTTTTGTGGCATTGTGGATTTTTCTTTTCAAGTGTTGCATTTGTGAATCAAATTATCAGTAAGTTTCTGTAAAAACCTTATAGAATGTATTTGTAAGAAGAAAGTTTAAATAAATAAAAAAGTAGGATTACTTTTGGTTAATTATTACTTACTGTTCCAGCTGATCTCTGCGTACTGCTTGTTCATTCATATAATGCTGACGTGCCTTTTCTTGCTCTCTGGCAACAGCTTCTTTATCTTCATGTACCATTTCTTTCTCCTTCTTTTTCATAGCATCTGACTTTAACTTTTTAAATTCAACTTGGGCATCTCTTTCTTTTAGGACCTCAGCAAGTAGAAATGCATTCTGCAAGATAACATTTAAAGTAGTTTGCATGCTCAGAAGTATTTAAAGACATTCAGTACAGTTTGAATCTAAAAATTTTAAGTTGTCAACAAACATTAAATGCTTTCACTCTTTCATTCTGATAGAATAGGTAGGTTTTTGCACGGTCAATAGTCTCCTTCCGTCTTGCTGCTTGGAACTTTGCTTCTTCCAAATCAATTAACTTTCTTTCTTCCTCTTCTCTTTCTTCACGTAGTTGTTTGGCTTTAAGTTTCTGCTGTGCCAGGCCCTACAGTACAGATAAAATTGGAAATTATATTTAAATCCCACAGTCTAAAAACATATTAACTATTCTGAAGGTGATGTACTCAATATTTGGTTTGGTTTGTTTTTTTTTTAATTTTGCATTTAGCTTTACTTTAAAAAATTACAAGTTGATGTTAGATGTTAAAAAGTACTTAAATGGAGTTTAGTTAAAATAAATATTTAAAAGCAAGTGTTATGCAAGTTTACAAACCAGTCCTGTACTTACCATAACGGTGTTGGGCCAGTCTTTGATAGCAGCTTTGGAGCGTAGGCGCATTTCTTCCCGCGCTTTGTTCTCGGCAAGGATGCGTGCTGCTTCTTTAGCTGTGCTGCCAAGACGGTCCTGAATCCCTTCCCATTCTGCTTTTGGCAATACAAGTACCTGATGAAGATCGACTTGAATTGGAAGAATTTTTCCATCTAGAATGATATTATCTTCCAAATGATCTGGTGCTGTGCAGAGAGAAGATACTGTTGTTACGTGATATCAGAAAATCCTATAATTGAAACTTTATCAGGATTTGAATTTGTGCACAGTAACATTACTCAGCTATTCTTAGTATTAGTTACTCTCCTTATATCTCAGATCTAAGACAGGGTATCTGTATCTGTAGCCTAGCTATGGGCAGTGCCTGTGCTTGGGCTCTGGCTGACTGACTTATCTGTTTGTATGTCCTCTTGTCTGTTTTTGTGTGTACAAGCTTGGCTTGTGGCAAATAACACTTTCCAGGCAGTATTTGGGCATGATTCTGAGAACAGCAGGGAGCATTCCCAAAGGGAAAGGGAGAATATTGGTAAAGCATTCTGCTGGTGGGTTGAGGCAGCAGTTTGGGCACAGGCTGTGCTTTACCACCCTTCTCCTTCGCAGTCACTGTATTTACTAAAATAGATGTAGCTTGCCGAACGGTTTCTTGATTTGTTGGAAAGACTAGTGTTTTTTTGTTATCTCAGGCTTGCATACACATGTGCATGCATAAATACAGCTTTTCTAGGTGATCACTAGGCTTTGTGAAATGCCTTTCAAACTGTCACCAGTATTTTTTAAGGAAATGGCACTCTGTATGGAGCAGCGTCCTGCTGGAAATTCTTTGTTCACCTCATTTGCAGCAGACTGACTTTTAATGTAAAAAATGTAAGGAAGATTTCTCTTACAGTGATACTGATGTCAGAGTCCGGTTTTCAGACACAGTTGTTAATCTCTTAGTCTCATGGTGGTGACCAAACCTGATCTCCCTCTGTCCCAGGTGAGGGTAGCCTTGCCAAAAGTGAATGCACAGCTGCTGCCTACAGATTGGGAACTGCCCGGCACCCAGTTTTTCTCTACCTTCAGCTGTTATTGTTCACCTCGACTGGTTTCAGGTTAGTTATTTCTACGTAACTCTTAGTGAGAAGCAGTCTGTCCTGCTGCCTGTGGCTGGGAGAGCTGGGGCAGGGC